AAAAAAAAAAAAAAAAGGAAAAAAGGAAAAAGAAAAAGATGTAATGCTTCTGATTAGAGTTGGGACTGTGAATTAGGAATTTATGATGGAATAATCCAATTTTTCAATACAGATACAGCTGCATCTAAATATAAATATATATGCGTTTATATGTGTAGGGGTGTATTCTATATTACGCATAACCTAGAGTAATTTAAACGCTTGGATTGTTTTATTATCAAATTTTAATATTTTTAATGCAGATTCAATTTCCAATTTTCCCAGAAATGGTGAGGAAAACAAGAAATTAAGACAATTTATTATCTTTACTTTATGGATTTGTTTTTTTTTTTTTAACAAAATTTTGCCATTTAAATTAGAGCTTGGTATTTTTCCTAATATAAGTATAATGTATATATTTTTATAAAGCTCGTAATATATAGGTATATGTATTTTATAGTAAAAATTTGATTATCTAAAGTTCAGTTAGATAATTATAAGTCGAGTCATCCGATAGTTACATAGCAAAATCATATTATGTTATGTTTGTGTGCCAGCTTAACAACAATACATTTAGTTGGTGCTTGATTGATTGTGTAATTCTAAAAGTAGTTGAGTGATGTCAATTGACATCTCAATTGTATTTATATTTGTATTTTATAAGATGCTATCGATTTCAGAAGAAAAAATAAATACACATAAATATTGATTAAATGGCTCTATGATTATTGCGTCCTTAATGTTGGCTACATGTTTCAACTAACGTAATAACTTTAAATTTTAAAATAATAACTACTAGTCCTCCAATAGGTCGTCTACAAAGTTCCACTAATTTTGTCTGCAAATTGATGTAAAATTAAAGATTTCACAGTTAAAAAATTATATTTTTTTCCAATATACAGTATCTTTTTAAATTAAAATATTGTATTCTAAAAAACTGGATTATCTTTCATAATACAAACATGTATCTTTATTATACTTAAAATATTACATAGTCTCACAATAAAATTTGTATTAAATATGTTAACATGTACTTTCTTTCAAGAGATGTTCAATGAAGAATTGATAGTTATATTTGAGAGTTGGAAAACATTTTGGTGATTGGGTTTTCTAGTTTCAGCAATTTTGATTTTCAACAATTCATAATTTATGTCCAAATCCCCACGTGGTTCTTCCGACTAGATAACACAATTGTGATTTCTTATTAGGAAGTCTTCATTTCAATTCCTCTGTGATGCCTAAATATCGTGTTTAATCAATATCTTAGCATTATTTAAATGCCTAACAATAGGATCCGTGGCGCAATGGTAGCGCGTCTGACTCCAGATCAGAAGGTTGCGTGTTCGATTCACGTCGGGTTCAATTTCCCGAACTAATGTTGGTCCTTTCTTTTTCTTTTTTCTTTTCGTCGTTATCCTTTAACCTTTTATCTTTGTTTTCTTTTTTCTCTCATTTCACGGGAAAAGAAAAAAAAATAAAAAAATAAATCCAAAGCCCATTTTGTGGCTTTAATGTAGTGCTTTGGAGGGTAGGCATGTACTTAGTACAATGATTGAAAAAAAAAGGTATAATGATAAATAAAGAATGAATAATTAATAGAGTAATAATTATTTAAAATGACACATGTTTTTGTTTTTAAATTTTTTAAAAAGATCATCATTTTAATTAAATTTATGGAATTATATATGTCTAATATAAATATTATTTACAACTTTGATAACTTAATTTTAAAATTTTTAAAATTCTTTACAAACAATTTTATATGTGATATATATGAAATCAACGTCAAATGATGATTGATTTGATAAATCATATATATGAAAATGGAATATAGATAAAAAGTTATTAATTTATAAAATATGATAGTTAATAAGTGAAATAAATAAAAAACAATAATACATGAATTTGTTTGGTAAGATTAGATTTAGAAAAGAGAAAATGAAAAAAAATAAATGTATACTTATCAAAATTGCAAATAAATTATTTATGTCAAATATCAAGCCTGATTTCCAAAGCAATAACGTGTATACAAATTGAATTACGAAATACAAAATTTTGTCTCCGAAGCGTGCAAGTTTGTCATTTAAGTTCAACACACGTTTTGAATGTCAAATTAATATATTAAGTTGATGTCTGAAAATAAGATGGCCCTGTGGTGAAAATTGATTTTTGTACAAAAAAGACTACAAAAGAACATATAATCAATCAATCCTTAAACATATCAAACGAAATAAACGTTTTAACATAACCTTATGCAATCAGCAATCTTACATAGATTACTCAAAAGTACACACCAAATTAACAATCATCACAATTAATTCATATGGGTAGTCAAGAGCAACAACAAAACTACCAAGGTCCAAATCGTCATCACACCAAAACCGAAACCGCCACTTGCCGCCCGGCCGCCGCCACTTTTCTTGCCGGATTTTGGTGGCGGCGGCGGCAGAGGCGGGCACTCGAGGCCTTCGCGGCCCTCACGACACAGGCTGGCAAAGAGTCCAGGCGGGTAGTGGCCGTTAAGGTCAATGTACCGGAACATTGTAGAAGCGCAGTCGTTGGTTAGGTCGTCCAGCTCGTCTGCAAACGGGCATGCAAACGCTTTGAAAGACGAGCAACACGGGTCGACCGAGTAATTGGGTCCTCGACATTTTTCGGTGATTATGGTGTAGTTTTGGTGCTCAAAATCAACCGGGCAAGCTATACATACAAATTAATTTGTCAAGACAATAATAAAATTAATTAATAAGAATATATATTTTCAATAAATCATGTTTTGATGTAATAGTACTGCTACACTTACATTTGAGAGCCTGAAGAAGCCTCCTCGTGACTATTTGATCTGCATCTTATAAGTTGATGACATAAAAAACAAAATAGTTAAGAATATTGAAAAAATATGCTCCAATAATATTAAACCAAATGTTTTTTATGGAGTTATGAAAATTTTAGAGCCAATTAATGAACCAAAACCTGAAGTTGTAGTGGAAGCCATGATGAAGGGAAACACAACAAGAATGAGGCAATTATTGATCATGAAACCCATTTTCGTATTTTTCTTTCTATGGACCAATACTTTTTCCAATACAAACTAGGTGGGAATGGGCTACTTAAATAGATGGAAGATAAATATTAGTTTGTATAGTTATAGTGTTATACGAATCGAGCTGCTCGTGAACTTGGTTTTAACTTGGTTAGATCGAAGATAAAGATTTTACGTAATTTTGTATAGCTTTGACTCGTTTTACACTTATAGTCCAAACTTCAAAGCCCTCCATTTGCATATTGTTGATTAAGTATAATAATATTTTTTAATTATTCTATCATATAACTTTTAATTAAATAGCTTATAAAAAATCATGTAGCTAAGGCCTTTTTTAGGCTAGTTATTTCAAATTCAACGCCATTTTTATTTAAATTTCTAACTAATTTTAATGGCATAACAAACCTCTTAAAGTCACGTAACAATTGTTATAATAATAATAATAATAATAATAATAATAATAATAATAATAATTGCGTAACAATTGGTATTATATATTTATATATTCAATTGTTATCTTCCATCTATTTAAGTAGCCCATCTACTAATAATAATATCAATCGCGTAACAATTGTTACAACATATTTATATATTCAACTAATTGATTGGTCATGTTCCAACTCATTACATTTTTTTATGCAATCGATATATGATTCATATATAAATAATATCATTTATAGTGATTTTGTAATTCTTTTACTAATTATCAAATCATTAAATTTTTAAATTATGATATGTCCATTATATATGACTTTAAATATATTAATCAATTTATAATATTTTATTAAATTGAGTACTAGTTCTCTTAAATATCGGTCAATCCTACGTTTGGAATGTGCAGAGCTGAAGTATGTTACCACTACAAAAGAATATGATCAAATTAAGAATGGATATATATAGCCATATGCACAGAGAAANATATCAAATATTTGTGGACATTTTTTTCCTAACAAAAAGCCACAACAGAAGAGTAATTGTCTAATTGATTAGATTCTAAGGAGTTTTGTGGTAATGGCAACTTATTAGCTCTTGTCCTTGTTTTCGGGCAGTAGGGGACCTCATGAACGTATTTTTCAACAAATTTGAATTGAATTTTACTTAATTATGTATAGCTCTGAAGCAGGTCAACAGTGCAAGTAAAGAAAACCACAAGCTTTTTATGGAATATTATTGGGGGTATTAATTAATTGCTGGGAAATTGTAATTAATTATTTAGGCTAGATGATAGTGTCCACTTGTGAGTAATACTATTATGGAAAACCTGGTTTAATGACTACTGTCAGTTCAGAATTTCTAAATAAATGTTTTAATGACCCATGTGAGTGAGTGTGTGTGGAATTTGTGGCCAAAATTCCATGTGGGTATGGGTAGGATCGACTTTAACTTGAAAATAATTTTAAATTTAATAACTTTTTCTTTATTACAAATATATGATATTTTAAACTAATTATCTGTTAACTATGTTTATGAGCAAGTATTACACGTATGGCTATCTTTCTAAATACTACTACTAAAATAATATTTTATCAACTCGTAAGTTTCATATTCAAAAATGAACTGAGATCCATAATATAAGCAATTACAAAAACCTTAGAAAGTTGGTTTTTATAATTAACCCATCAACAAAGCGACTTTTGTGATTCCTGTAAGAAGCAAGTACGACTTTGAGACCCATCAACAAAAGCGTTAATAACGCCAAGACCATCTCAGTGAAAGATTTACTTTAAAAAAATATGGAGAGAGAGATCAAATTCAAGTTTAACCTTGTGTAGGGAAATCACTCTCAGTTTCAGAATCTTCTATAACCTTTCGCTTTTTCCCATCCCGAGTGAAAACCGAGAAGCAGATTTAACCTATACTAAAACCTCAGCAATTCATTTACATTTTCACCGGTATAATGTATAATACTCACGAGTTAAAGTTATGACTATTTGCTGTCCTTGAGAAAGTGACAAGTGAGAAGAAGTGAAACGCGTTCGTTTTCATTTGACAGGAAAATTGGGGTGCAGAGAAAGTGATTAGATATGTATTATATATATAAATGCACTTTCCCTTTTTGTTCTTCACCTCCATCAAACATTTTCCCATCCGAGCATTCGTTTGACGAGTATTTTGTTCTTTACTATCCACACAACTCAACAGAACAGCCTTCGACGCTGCAAAATAGAAAGTTAAAAAACAAACTATATTAGCTTGCACAGAAAGTAACAAAAGCTATTTTCTTTGAATCTATGCCAAAAAAATGGACTTACGTGAAACTTTGACTCTCGCAGATTTTCCAGTAACTCGGTTATCTCGTGCTGCTTCGTTACAGTCGAATTCAATGCCTAAAAAGCACACTCACATAAGTTGGAAAAAATTCATTTACTATCAAATATGCATAATATACTCACTCCTTACCCTTTTTGTCTTCTCGAGGTCAGACTCGACTAATTTTATCCTGTCGAGCGATTTATGAAGCAACTGCTCCTTCTCCACTGGGATTTGGACAGGCTTTCTCACGAGTTCATTTAACAAATTGTCCAATCTATGGAGACGTTCTATGCAGGGAGCTATGGCCTCTGTGCCGAAAGGTAAATTACTGTTTGGTTGTGGTAAATTTTCTGGATAAATGTTGGTTTGTGTCCTCCAATATCCAAAACATGCGTTTTGGATAAAATCGAAAAGCTTGATCATGATTAATATTAGTGTTCTTGTTATATACCGAAAACCTCTCTTCACGAGTGCACCTGATTCACATATTTGGTATATAATATCAGATTTTTCACCATAGTTAAATTAAACAATGGTAGATGGATTAAACAATGATAAATTACAAGGGCAGTATTATTTTGATTTATGACACAAGAACAAACCTTCGAAACTTGATCTTCCATGGTCGTGTGAAGACCGATCTTCCAATTCTAGGTCATTATCACTATCTTTATCGGCTGGACCGAAATTATCATTGCAGCCAAAGTAAATACAGGGATCTGATATCCGTGCCTGCAAATTTTGGTCAAATTAATAAGTCAATACCCGGATAAATATCGTCTATACTAAGAATTCTTGAGGAAGAACAAGATATGGTCTGAATTCAAGATTTTCAAAGTATTGTGTTTTAAAAAACAAGAAATAGGATTAGTAGTTTCTGATCAAGCTTACTTCTTCAGCATCTGATCCTGATTTGGCTAAGGATGTATCACCACATCTGGCCTGATAATTTAAAAAAACACCATAAAGTTTATATTATACACATGATTTGATGAATCAATGATCATACTTAACAAAACTTACCACCTTTAGGGCCTGAATTTTAAAATAAGAATCGATTTTCTGCTGATCGCTGCATATTTTGGCAACTCGGCCTTCGAAAGTTGTTTCCAAGCTATAGACGAGCTGTAAACAAAAAAAGTAACTTTTAGAATAGCCTCGCGTGACAATGTAATTCAAATTATATACACGGGGCCAAATGAGTAATAATAAATGCACCTTCATTAATTCAGGATCACTCCATGGACCCTTATTAGCCCTCAGGCAACCTCCCTCAGCAATACACGAGCATGATCCACCCAAAAAATCAGGCAGTTGACTGGGGAAAGTACAAGTATTTAGATTTTAGATCATATCTTTGACTTGAAAAATATAGTCTGCAATGGAAAGAGTTTCAACAAACCTTGGGTCAATGACTTCAAGTAGCTTCCCCAGAGATTTAGAGTCCAAGACCTGTACATGTTGCAAACAAGAGTGCAATTAATTGACGATGCAGTAAATTGGAAATAATAGAACAACAAAAGCAACTCAACAGAAAAGTATATATTCATTACATGAATTTTCGCGATAGTTTTTTGATCCAGAAATTTCTGTGCAGCAGGCCAAAGCACCTTCTTAAAGCCAGTTCCAGCATTGACAATGAACATGCGATGGAGTGTCTGTATTTTAACCCATACATAAAAACAGGTCACACTTGTGGTTATTATTCATGAAATTGAAATGGAGAAAAAAGGAGTACGTATGAACAAAAATTACCTCGGGGTAGTAATTACTGTCAATCTTCGCCATGGCTGACAATAGACTTGCGGCAGTTGCTGTGAAATTTTTAACCCCCTGAAATCACATTGTGATGCCAATTTTACAGAAAATTAATATCTTATCACAGTGCATCAAAGTCAGTGGGGAAGAACTGTATTTTACAGAAAATTAAAATCAAGGTCCCACGAATCAGTTTGCATAAAACCTGGAATAAATATATTTTTTTCTGAAAATACCAATAAGAAACTCCCAATAGATTTACTAAAACAGAAAAAAGAATTAGTCATTAAGGACTTGCATCACAGAACTGAATCAACAGACCAGGCCTTGTACATCCAAAATTGTGGTTGTGGAGCATATCCGTCTCTTAGCAGCAATGGAACATGCTGGGAAATTCTCGTGTATAGCCCTCTCGAATTCTTGAACGTGATATTTCAAATATCTTTCTATTAAAGTGATGCGCATCAGTTTACTCGGGTGAGCTTTTCCAAGCCTTTCGATGTAAACTGGTCTGCCCTCTCTATCAACTCCATGATATCCTTGGGGGTAATAGTGCAAGACTTCTTCCAGCTCCTCAAATTCAAAGTCCTGCAAATCAACCATTAGTGAACTGTACTCTATACCAATAATACAAGCTGAAGCCTCCAAAGTGCAAAAAGATGGCATAAAGGAACAGAAGGATCTGAAAATTAGAAATTGAAACTCATCTAGAGAGATAACAGATCATTATAAGAGAAAACCACAGAAAACATTTCTGCATATATAATCGTCATGTATCATTACCTCCAAGATAGTGTCTGCTCCAAAATCCCTCCTCCAGCTAAGCATTTCTTCCCACATCTGGAGGGTCTTGCTGATGTCGAAATCTCTAGCTCTCAGGAACCTATAGAACACCAAAAATTGAATGAAGTGATAACCAAAGGGCAAAGGATCTTGATTCAACAGGTGAAAATCATAGAGGCTCTTGATCCAACCAAGGAAAGAAAAGGAAAAAAAGAAATTGGCACACAGACTAATTTGATATGCATATAACAAATATAAGTAAATGCCAATGAATGCTTAAAAATTATTAGTATTTAAATTCTGGATCCAAACTTGTCAATGACTTAGAAGAGCTCATACATGTAATTCAATATGCCTATAGTTCTGCTCTCATCCTAGTCTCCTGAAAGAGGTACTATCACTTGCAAAAGCCACAGTCAAAGTAACTATTACAGCAAAATCCATAAGTTCACATAAAATGAAGATATTACATTAAACATCCACCAATCTTATTTTTCACCAGTGAACCTCCTCGGATGTGGGAAATTATGTGCAGGAATCGGAGAAGAATATTTTGTTAAAAGAAATAATAATAATATTAAAAAAAAATGAAAACTCACCGCAGCAAAGTATGGTAGTCATCATGCCGAACTGGCAACAAATTCCTGTCAAGTAATTTTTGGCGTAGTTCACAGACCGCACTCTCCTCTCTCGGGTCACGAAAGTCCTCAATTGAAATCGTAGGAACCCTAAAATCAACTTTCCTTTTTCCCCTTTTCTTGAGAGAATGAGTGAACTTGTTTGAAGCATTTATGGCCTTCTTCTTCAGCGACCTGATTTTTGATCTCCTTCTCTCGTCTTCAGAGTTTTCGTAGTCTGACTTTCTCTCTCTTGTTTCATCGAGCAACTCTATTCCATCTAGAGAGAAAGTAGAAAGACAGTGTAACACAATTTGTGAGTGAAATGTTTTTTTCAGGAATAAATCTTAACCACAAGGATTGATATGTCCTGAGCCTTTGCACACCTGACATATTGGCTGGGATCATAATTAATAGGCTAAAGATGAGAAGACTTGATCTCCCCAAATTCAGAAAATGTGGTGTTCAAAAAGTACCATATCAAACTGCACAATCATGAAAAAATGGATTAGTATAGAAGGCTTGTTGCAACACAAAAAAAATGCCAATGCCTAGTCCATTTTGGCACAATTTTTATACATAATCTAACATGGAGGAATTCTCTTCTCAGATTAAAAGCCAACAGTCTGATAACTCAATTTTCAGCACAAGCACAAATCTTTATGAATGAGGATGTTAATTTCTTTCTTCAAATCCGCAACACTGATGTTCTATCATACATTTTTAATTATCAACTATGACTAGCTAGAGCTTACAAGATCCAGCTAAACAAAGAATTCTACACTACCAACAATTTATCAAAAATTAAAACTGCTCAAAGCTCCCACATCCATTCAACCGACAAAATCAGAAAAACTTCAAAAAAGCTGAAAGCTTTAGACTGAAAACTCCCAAATAGAGAGTAACACAACATTATTGGTTAAAAAAAAAATTAAATCCAAGCGCACGAACAATTACATTACTCATTCATTCTACACGAACCATCCATTAAATGAAACCTATCAATGCCGTTGCATTTCCCGTCAGATCCCACCTTACGAACACACTGAAATCTAACAGAAAAGTCTCCCCAATCAGCAAAAAACAGATTTGAAATCACACATTCGAATACAGGTCGCGAGCTTCGATCACAGTCGTGAAAACAGATGAACACAAGAAACAACATACCCAAAAGCAAATTCGCATCTTACATAAAACCCTTGAACCGAAATCCAGCTGGATCGCAATCGGCGGAGGTCTACAGCACCGATCTGCACAATGCGTGTATCCAAAAGGAAAATGGAAAAACTGAAATCTCCTTCAGAGAAAATTCTCGAAAACAATGGAGATCGAGCGAACACGAAGAATCACGCGATGACAATACACAAAAATGCCCGGCCCGTGACTGTACGTATTATATATATGCGTGTGTATATGTTGGTGTTCTTTTTTCTTTCTTCTCCTTTCTCTCTCTGTCTCTACACACAAACCAGATTCTGGAGCTTCCCTTTTATTTACTTAATTTTGATTTTTCATTTTCAGATTTTTTTCTTATTGTCTTTTTCTGGCTCGAAAAAGAAAAATTGTACCGGCAGTAAAAAAACAGGGGAAGGCAAAGAAGGCATGGGCCGACGATGAAACAGACGTTTCATGGTGTTGAAAGGAATATAAAGGGAATAAATGAATACTAATAATAATAATAATTAATAATAATAAGTGTGTTTTACCCGTTTTGACCCTTTTGGAGGTAAGGAAAAAGTCGTTGATTTAAGAACAGTGTTTTACCGCTTTTACAATTTACTGCTGCTTTCTGTTGGATGTCTGCTACGGGTTTTGTCCGTTTCTTGAGGTTGACCCGTTATTTTTTTACCGGCAAAGAAACAATAAAAAATTCTCACCTTTGAGATCCAAAAAGAAAAAGTAACACTATTACTTGGGATGCGAATATTATTGATATTGTTTCATCACGTGAATGCATTAACATATTTCAACTAGTTAACTATCAAAATCTCGTAATTTTCGGACGCTTGTACTTTGGTCTAAAATATATTTTTCGATTAATTATTCAGATTAAGTATTCGTAATCTTTAAATACCATACTCATTCTTTTTTTTTTTTCCTCAAAAAGATAAACCCAAAAGGGAAGTAACAACATACCACCAAAAATATAATCAAAATAAAATATTATCCACTTGGCCAAAATAAAAAATTTATAAATATAAGAAACAAAAATGAATTAAATGATTAGATATTTTGAAAATTGTAATAATATTTTTCTCTCCTCTTTCTATTGGTTGGCTAGAATGTGAATGATAATGTGGATGAACCACATCCATCTCTACATTGTAGACATTTATTATGTCCACCTTATCACAACATTTGTAATAACATTGTGCATTGAAGGATTAAAAGTGAATAAATTACTAAATATATTAATGTATAGTGTAATTTACTACAATTACATTTAAGCATTGGAGATGCTCTTATCGACCGTGGATAAGGAATTTTTTTCAACAATATTTGATGTTCACTCATTTTTTAAAGGAATTGATACATAACACTCACATGGAGTGGAGTATACTTGATTTTTTATTTTTGGTTGGTCCCACTCAATATAAGTGTTATGTACACACTTATGTACAATATTATGTACCTATAGCATTTCTCTTGATATATATACGGCTTAATTTTTAGGTAGATCGGAATATTACGTCTTCTTTTTTGAATAAAATTGTATATTTATATTATGAAATGCCATACTTTCATTTATATTTTTTAAATCATATTATTTCATTTAGAAAAAATATGGCCGCTTAACAACACATTATTTCAAAATAGTTAAAATTGTTTATGAAAAATGTTAATTTCTACTAATGTTTTTTTTTTAAAGTAAAAATTAGTTTTTCATTAAAAAAAATATAAAATGAAATGAAATTTAAATATATGCTATGGTGAATATATCCTAATAAAAATTAATTTACATAATTCGTTAATCTATACTTATATAATAAGGTGTACCATTTACAAAATTTAGTAAGTTGAAAAGTCAATGCAATAAATGCATTACTATTTTGAGCAAAACATAATATAATATCATATCTATACTTATATAAAAGGAGATTCTATTTACTACATTTACTATCCCGAAAAGTCGACTGCATTAAATACTATTACTATTTTGGTATTATAATATTTTATTTATTTAATTGATTTATTTATTTATTTTATTTTAAAAAGGTAAGTATAATAAAAAGATTTTAATAATAAAAAAATTAAATACCAAATAAAAATATACACTTTGACTTATTTGATTATATTTGATATTTTATTATACCAAATATATTCCTATTTAGTATATACATTAAATACTTACTAAAGTATTTATTTGTTTTATTTGTCAAAGTTAAGTATAGATTTGTTTATATTATCAAATCATAAAAAAATATTAAATCCATATTGTAAAAAAAAAAATCATATAATTTTATAACAATTCTACTACACTATTTAACAATATTCATTTTTTATTATATTAATAATAATTAAATATCATATGGTTGACAACAACAAGTAAAATTGTTACTTTATTTTATATCAAGGGATAAATTTATATGCTGAAATTAAATTTTTATTAGTATAAATGTTTTAATGAGATAATATATTAATTATTTTACAAGATAGCCCTAACATGCTCATATTTAATGTTTTAAAAGATGTAGAAAAAAACTTATAATAACTATATTGTTTTTTAGACTTAAACGTTGATTAAAAGGGGTAAAAATTCCTAATATTTTAGACTTAAACGTTGATTAACACCACAGATTGAGAGTCTATATTTAGTAAAATTCCTAATTGTAATAAAAAAAAAAATAATTTTTGCTATATTTTAGAATATCTTTAAAATTATTATAAAAAAAAATAAAAAAAAAACTACAATGAAAAAAGCAAGTCAGCTATATATCGATTTGTTGTACTCCTCAAATCACATTCACAATTTGCCTACAAAGAAAGGAAACTCATTGATTAAAATATTATTTTGTCAATAGTCTTAATGTACAAGAGACTTTAAGACTCCACTTGAATATTGTAAAACTTTTATTGAACATTGTACAATTTTCTTGCGTATTATAAACTCTTATTGAATATTGCATCTTATAATATAATATTCTCCGAATAAATATACCCCGTGCTTCGCACGGGTCACGTACTATATATATCCCGTACATTTTTCTTTATTCATGTATATAATTATAATCTTGGATAAATAGCCTTAAAATTGTGCACCCCGTGCATCGCACGGGCTCTGTACTAGTTTATATTAAAAGGTATACCATTTACCAGATTTAGTATAAAGAAAAGTCAACAACATTTATTGTATTACTATTTCCGTATTATACAATCTATACTTATATAAAAGGAGATTCTATTTACTACATTTACTATCCAGAAAAGTCAACTGCATTAAATGCCATTACTATTTTGGTACTATAATATTTTATTTATTTAATTGATTTATATATTTGTTTTATTTTAAAAAGATAAGTATAATAAAAAGATTTTAATAATAAAAAAATCAAATACCAAATAAAAATGTACACTTTGGCTTATTTGATTATATTTGGTATTTGATTATACCAAATATATTCCTATTTAGTATATACATTAAATACTTACTAAAGTATTTATTTTTTTTATTTGTCAAAGTTAAGTATAGATTTGTTTATATTATCAAATCATAAAAAAATATTAAATCCATATTGTAAAAAAAAAATCATATAATTTTATAACAATTCTGCTACACTATTTAACAATATACCTTTTTTATTATATAATAAAATAATAATTAAATATTATATGGTGAACAACAATAAGTAAAACTGTTACTTTCTCTTATATCAAGGGATAAATTTATATGCTAAAATTAATTTTTTATTAGTATAAATGTTTTAGTGAGATAATATATTAATTATTTTACAAGCTAGCCCTAACATGCTCATATTTAATATTTTAAAAGATGTAGAAAAAAAACTTATAATAACTCTATTTTTTTTTAGACTTAAACGTTGATTAAAAGAGGTAAAAATTCCTAATTTTTTAGACTTAAACGTTTATTAACACCATAGATTGAGAGTCTATATTTAGTAAAATTCTTAATTGTAATAAAAAAAATAATTTTTCCTATATTTTGGAATATCTTTAAATTCATTATTAAAAAAAAAAGGAAAAAAAAACTACAATGAAAAAAGCAAGTCGGCTATATATCGATTTGTTGTACTCCTCAAATCACATTCACAATCTGGCTACAAGGAAAAGAAACTCATTGATTAAAATATTATTTTATAGTAGTCTTAATGTACAAGAGACTTTAAGACTCCACTTGAATATTATAAAACTTTGATTGAACATTGTACAATTTTCTTGCGTATTATAAACTCTTATTGAATATTGCATCTTATAATATAATATTCTCCAAATAAATATATCCCGTGTTTCGCACGGGTCACGTACTATATATATCCCGTACATTTTTCTTTATTCATGTATATAATTATAAGCCTGAATAAATAGCCTTAAAATTGTGCACCCCGTGCATCGCACGGGCTCTATACTAGTAAATATAAAATGAAATGAAATTTAGAGTGGATAAGTTTTCAGTGCAAACAAGGAAATTATATCTTGTCTTTTTCTTTTACACAAATAAAATAATGACACGTAAGTATTTCTAGTAGAGTAGAACACAAATTATTTGTAACTTTTAAATTTATGTTGCAACACTATAATTTGTCGAAATAGTGGAAGCACAAAACAAGAGACATAAACTCTTCGGGGAGTATCCCAGTACCGCTCAGAGATCTTTCATTGATAATCAATTGTGCACTCATGTATAGTACGGACTTACAAAACTAGAACTCCCTTCTAGCTTGGCCACATCTACACTCGACACTACCAATTACTTATTTGGTCACGTTCCGTGGACTTCACACTCTCGAATCCCTTGAGCAAATCTCAGTACTTACTCCCTAAGTACTAGAAACAAAGTGTTTGAATAAAATATGAAAAACTAAAACAAAACGGATTCAATTTTTCGACATTGAAAGAACATCGAATCTCTGAACTGTGAACTAAATGAAAAAACCAGAACTTGAACTCTCAATCGAATGCTCGGAATAATGTGTGAATAATGATAATCTCATCAGCCTTCAATTGATCTTCAAGTATGATATATAAAGACTCCTTAGGTATGAAGTCTTCTTCAAGCTAGATTCTTCTCTCTTCGATTTTCTTTCCTATTAATGCGGTTGAAACATGGTAAGTGGATCTGTTCGATATTTTCCTCTTCATGCATATCCCTTCAGCGTCCATGCATATCCAACCGATATCTTACAATAAATATCATAATAAGATCATGCAATCTATACTTATATAATAAGAATTAATATTTATCCAAAATAGTAGGTCAAATTATGGTCAATGCCGGATTTGCATTAAATATTTTTCAAAACTGGTAAGTTTTTGTCCTTTTCACACTTCTCATTAATTATGTCATTTTCACACTTCTCATTAATTATTTCATTTTCACACATCTAATTAATTCATTAATTACGACATAATTATCATAAATCATTCCATCTGAGCTTTTATCGTTAAAATGTATAGCGATCTGTTATGACCTTATCCCATTGATATTTCCATGAAGCGTCCTTATCGCGTTCTATTTTTTGGTAACCACTCTATATCAATAACCGGATATTTGGTTAATGATAACACACGTCTTTATTTCAAGGAGCGGATATTCTTTGACCTTTAACTAATCTGAACTGATTGCCTTGACTTTTCAGTTTTTAAAAACTCTTTTTTTAAAATATTTGGGCTTAAGATTCGGATTTCATTATACAAGTCATCTGATTGTTTGAATGAAAATGAATGAAAAGAACACCAAAAACAGGTAGCCTTATTCATATAACCAATCCTAAAATATTAGTTTGTTCACCAAAAATAGACAAATCCTAGAAATCCTAAAATATTAGTTTGTTCACCAATCCTAAAATATTAGTTTGTTCACCAAAAATATTAGTTTGATTTTTAGGATTTGTTTCTTTTAAAAATATTAGTTTGTGATAATGAGGAGTTACCAAATAATCAAACTCATAATGTTGTGTACAAGGATGTTTTTAATAATATATGATTGTTACCGAACTTTTTATGATTCAACAATGTTCCTATGTATTTTAATGATTTCAATTTCGATCCTAATGCACGTGAGGTTATATTATTCTTCCAAATTTTACATCCCGTGCATCGCACGGGTTACGTACTAGTCTTTCCTAAATATACATAGTGAATAAAATCGAAATATATATAATATACACATATCCAAATTAAATATAAATATAAATATTAATAAAATAACTTTCTTTTTATTCTTCATGCTTGCAAGAACACATCTTCAATATATTATTTATTGTCAAAAATAAATCTTTCAAGTAAGGTATAACTCAATGCATTATTTTATTCTTTACCTAATGCATTATTTATACTCAACTTTAATCTACCCATGTATCCAGTGCCAAATGAATAATCTTTTCAAGTATATACCAATTTTCATTAAAAAAAAGAGAGATGATATAAAAATGAATGAATATTTTGTAAGTTGGTCAATGCTTTTAACACTTACGTATTTTCCTTGGCTTGACCATTAAATTTCACATTCAATTCCTATTAAGTGCAAAATGAAACAGTTCCACTTGCCATAAAGAAAATCTTAAGAGAAAAATGATTAATGAATGAGACCAATTTCATTCATACACTCTTATTTTTAAACTAATTTACAAACATTACTTTTTAATAAATAAAAACATTTTCATAGTACCTAAAAAAATAGTAAGCAATTTATCTAAAATATTGTACAAAATAAACATATTACGTCCTCGAAAACCGAAAAGGAAATCAAATGTGAAAAAAATCTACCAAACAATAAAAAAAAAAAAAAAAATATATATATACAGGCCTGTGTTGCTGAGTACTTAATATAGGTAGCTGTAAAGTTGTCGTGTTGAGTTTTTTCTTTCGTAACTTTTAGTTTGCTGTCGTTTCTTTTCTGAGTCGCTGTCACCAAAGGGGAATTTTTATTGCACTCTCACTTTCTTTAATTAAATTTTATTCCAAAAGATTCTTACGGAGAGATTTCACTAGATTTACTGCCAAAGATAATATCTAATGGATAATTGACAATTAATGCGGATAATGTATTTTTTTTTTCAATATCATAATATCAAATATTATTGCAAAAATAAAAAATAAAAAACAAACAAACAAAACTACTAAGACAATTGTTATCTTGAGATTGCATAGACAAGCAAAAGATTAAACTCACCACAACAATACAAAAAAAATCAAACAAACATATAGAAACAATAAAATAAAATATACCCCAAATGAGAGGTTATCTAAACATAGAAACGTACAAGACCGATTGCAATTTATGTGTTAATTCAATTGCAAATTACAACCATTTGCATTCACCAGAACAAATTTAGGTCACATTCCCTGCATCACAATTCACAACCAATTGCAAATTGTGTTAATTATTGCCGCGCGATTTCAATTTTAGTTTGGAGGTTTTTTTTTTCCTAATAAAAAATTTAAACAAGTAACAAATTTTCAATCTATGCATTACTTTTATTTAAAGCGAATACCAACATTTCAACTACTATGTGGATATTCTACCAATTTACATAATTAGTCAAATGCACCCGGTTGTTAATAGACAAAATAGGGGGAGAGAAACAAGAAATTAACTAAACTAAATAGATCGCAAAAGTCTGATTTATACAATTCCAAATTCTTTATATTACTAATGCCACTAGAGGTATGCATTTGTTACAAAACAGGAATATTTTTTTTTTTTTTTTG